ATGTCATGTCATGTCATGTCATGTTGTTCATTCATTCCATGTCATTCCTTCATTTAATTCATTTCATTCATTTCGTTCATTTCGTTCATTTCGTTTCATTCATTCATTCATTCATTCATTCATTCATTCATTCATTCATTCATTCATTCATTCATTCATTCATTCATTCATTCATTCATTCATTCATTCATTCATTCATTCACACACACAGACATACATACATACCTATGTACGTACGTACGTATGTACATACAGACCAATTCAGACATAGGTATATACACACATACATACGTACGTACGTACATACATACATAGATAGATAGATAGATAGATAGATGGATAGATGGATAGATGGATAGATGGATAGATGGATAGATGGATAGATGGATAGATGGATGGATAGATATATTTTTTACATACATACATACATACATGCATACATGCATACAGGCATACACACATACATGCATACACACATACATGCATGCATACAGGCATACACACATACATGCATACATGCACACAGGCATACACACATACATGCATGCATACAGGCATACACACATACATGCATGCATACAGGTATACACACATACATGCATGCATGCATGCATGCATGCATGCATGCATGCATACATACATACATACATACATACATACATACATACATACATACATACAGACATACACCATTATCATTCTTTTGGGGGGAATTCAACGGACATTCCAAACTATGAAACGCATCAGGGGCGGCTGGCGAAAGGTATGATATCATTTTTGGCGAGTTGGGAGAAACTAGGTTGGATGTTCGACCCACGTACGAAGGCTACTCCAATTTCAGCATGACGCCACTGGGTGTGGGCCTGTAATGGAAGCCCCGGACCTAAGTACAACCTCTGGTTGGTTTTGATCGGGGGGTCCGTTCTTATTGAAATCCGGATCACTTTACGTGACACCTTTCTAATCAACCAAATTTCTACTCAAATCAAGGGTCCCCAAGTCTCATAGCCGCTTGGTCGAACTCCATGAAGCATGACATTGGATTTGCGCATCACATGTTCATAACGATTTGGGTATGTCCCGTTTTAGTGGACCCCACAATTGTTTACAAAAAAATACATATATATATATATATATGTATATTTCTCGTTTGAGTTCCCTTTAGAATTATCCAAAAAGGCTACCAACTCAACAAAAACGGGAGCCGCACCCGCTTGTTTGGCCGTGTTTTCTAGTTTTCTGGGCGTCTTGTCCACTTTTCTCCTGTTTCTTGGGGCGTCTTGTCCACTTTTTTCCGGTTTTTTGGGGGCGTGTCGTCCGTTTCGGACACAGCGAGGCAGCTGCTGGGGGCGCAGCGGTTGCTGGGCAGCCCGGCCCACCTCTGCGCGGAGCTGGGCCAGGCCATGCGCCTGGCGCTGCTGGGCGCATGGCCTGCAGAGAACGGCCTCGCTCCGGGTCGTGACCAAATCCCCCGGGTCCAGATGGCTGTGGCTCAAAAGACCGGTACCAAAATGGCTTGCCCTGGTAAGTGGAAACATGGGTACCAAAACCCTGCGGTTTGCCCCTCCTGGTTCATTTTGAGCCACACCCAGATGGCATTGGTTGTTCCTGTTTTGGGGCGCAGGCGGATATTTTTTGGTGGCCGGTCCAAAAACGAGCTGCAAGGAGTCCCAGGCGTGTAGGTCACAATCACTTGGGCATGGGTCAAAATTAGTCGCCACCAGGGTATGGACCACAGGTTTTAGTCATTGTTTTCATTTACCAGGGTGCCATTTGGGTACCTATTTTTGACCCACAGCCAGATGGGTTCCTTCTTTCCGGATGACCCACCTGCAAACATGCATAAACAGAGAAGGACGAAGAAGACAGCAGGAATTCCAAGGTGTAACACAAGATGGTTTGAGAAGGTATGGTATGTAAACAACACTTAAGGATTTGTGTACCGCTCTACCAGTGTGCCGGGCGTCTTACCAGCCGTTGAAAGACATGGGGCGAATGGGTGGTTTTGTTTGAGGCGCGGTAGCTGGTTTGAAGGGAACCCCCCCCCTTGACAAACGGTCCAACCTTACAGACTTTCCCAGCCATCTGGGTTTATGGGTTAGTTTTCCGTTAGTTGTCGCTTAATTATTGGAAATCAGCTCCCAAAGAGTCCTTTGATGGTCTAGTGCCTTGGGCGTTTTGCTGCTTAGGGCAGGGGATCTGGCAATGGTATTGAAAGGGTTTGTAGGCTTTTGAGGGTGTCTTGGTCCGGTTCCGGATGTTGTATTTTCTTCTTTTTTCGTTTCTTAGGGTTTTCGTAGTTTCCAGAAAAATAGCACTAAACAATAGACTTTCAGGGGATCGCAAGATGTTTTGTTTTTGGGAGTTTTGCCGTTTTTGTGGTGGCAAAAGGGAAGCCAAAAGGAAAAGTGTTGCACTTCTTGTACCAGTATCCATCAGCGGTTTTGAAAATACACTGGACCACTCTGGGCGCAACGTGTTCCGAGCAAGACTGCAAAGAAACCCAGGACACCCAGGAAGCAGCCACGAGAAAGTTCCTATTGGCCTATGCTTTCAAGTCAGTCTCCGGTTAAGACTATGGCACTGGTTTGAGTGTAGTCCCGATCATGTTTTCCAAACGGAACAGGCCCTGCGAGTATGTACTTGGGTCCTTTTCTTGGCCCCTTGCGTACATCCTCGGAGGTTTGTGCTTGTTGCGGGTGCCCATGTCAAGTTTTGAAGGGAAACCAACAGGAAAACCCACCCCTTTGGGGTCCCTGTCCAAACGCACATGTGTGGGTGTGTGGGTGTGTGTGTGTGTGTGTCCTTTTTTTAGGTGCCCCCCAACTTGTTGTAGTTCTCCTCAGAGTTTCCCTTTAAAATCACTAAACCCGAGGAACCCTCAAAAAACGACATACCCGCACACAATCTATACCTACATATACATTACTATATATTCACATATAAACGGGCATGGTACCCCGTATATTATATATATAATATATATGTACATGGACCCGAGCCTCTAGGTGTTTGGAGCTGTAGCCCCTGGCTGCTGCTTGCGGCGCTCCTCACAGTCATCGCAGCACTGCTGGCAACTTGGCGCAGAACTGCCATCCAGATCCCTAGTTGGGTTTGTCCTTTTGTTGTTTCCCTCCTTCCCCCCCCCAAAAAAAAAACAAACAAACAAACTTCCAAAGATAACAAACATCATGGGTGTGTTCCCTTTGGTTTCTCTTTAACCCCCCCCCCCCTCCAAAAAAAGAGGATCCCCCCCCAAAAAAAAATAAGAGAAAAAACAATAAAACATAAAAACACAGAGATTTCCACTTGGGTCTATCATTCTGTTTGGATGGGACCAAGTTTTTCATAGAGAAAACCACGTGCCTCGCCGGGCATCGCCTGACGCACCGTGAAGCTCACGGCTTGGGGCTCCTGAAAAGTCTGGTTCAATCGACTACTCTCGGGTGATCGATGAGGAAAAAGGGGGAAGAAGGATGCAGGGCTCCTTAGAGATCTCCATTTTGCAACCACCCATTTGAGCAACATGTGGATTTCTTGTTCAACACCAAAGTAGAGTTGGACACCTCCATGTACAAGTTGCAATGTTCAGGTGTATAATGCATCCGGATACCTGAGTTTGGGGTGGGGTAAAGGGAAGCCGCAAGGGCAAGCTTTGTGTTAAGGAAGAAAGGGTAGACGAGTAGGCTGTTTGCTTTGTGGCTATTTGGTAACGGATCTTTGGACTGTAGTTGGACTTCAGGTTTTTGTTTGAAGCTTGCTGGATTTTCGATTTTCCGGATTCAATCTTTTTGCGGGGGGGTCAACAGCAACCAAGTTTGGATCTGTTCTTTTTTTTTGCTGCCCTCCCCCCAGACAGAAAGAAAGAAACAATTACAATGCTTTGTGCCGTTTTGTTTTCGTTTAAAACCACCAACACGGGGGTCTTCCGTTTTTAACATCCTTCGGTCCTTAACACCTTTCGGCTAGCGGCTAGGGCGAGGGATCCAACATCAACTGTGCAAGTCGGAAAAGACCGGTGCTGGAGAACCCACCTAGATAGCCAAGTCGCTGCTTTTTGCAGTCACTCTTGCTGGTTTTACGGGCAAATGCGTGGAAAAACAGCAACTGGCGATCCAGGCACTTCGAGCCCTCAAGACAGCCAGCCCTAAACTCAGCCTGAAACTTCAACCCCGAGCAACTCAAGCGCCACCGGAGCCAATAATGTTAACCCCGGAGTAAGCCGAACCCCTGGTTGATTTTGATCGGGGGGTGTCACCTTTTAGTGGTTGGATTCAGACCACTTTTGGGGGGAACGCCCCCCTAATAATGGGACGGGTTTATTTATCCTTTGTCAACATTGGGCGGCGGCCAACGAATCCTCACCTCCAGCCTCACCAACCAACCAGGGTTAGCAATACACAGCTGCATATTTTTTGGCGAGCTCACCGATTTGGGGGTAAAACGAGCGAAAGCTATGGTAAAGATCCTTTACTTGTGGATCCCTTATTTCAGGTTTTGGATTTGTTGTAAATTGTGCAGATACTACACAAGGCCACTTACAAAACTAAACACCCCCAACCGAAATGGCAGTCGGGTGAACTCAGTATTGTTTGTTCATGCGGTGGGAGGCTCCACTTTTCATCAGCCTCACCCCTGATACCCTCAGCGTGCACAACAAGCCACGGAAGTGTCTAACGTTGCTTGCTTTGGACGGCTGATCTAGCCCTTCTCACTTCCCGAGTTCCTGGACTTTAAACTTGCTACTTTTTATATCATTTTAGTGGCAAATAACAAATGTTGACTTGTTTTGGCCAATCCACTCAGGCAGTGCGCCTTAAGCCAGACGTGCAGCTTTGGCTTGTGGCAATCCGACAACATAATGCAAACCTCGTCAGCATTGCAACCTAGGTCTAAATCAGTACTGTAGGTTTTATGTTCTCAGCAGAGACCAGAAGGTGGATACATCTGGACATGCTCTTTCGTTTCAGACCCCGCGTTTCAGATTCGGGAAACGCGTTCAGGAATCCGTGGAAGGGATCTTTATGATTGTCGCCAAGCCACTGGGCTGAAGAGAACGGTCGATACCGCTGGTCGCAATGTGAGAGAGGCACCCAACTCTTGCCCAGACGGACCTCATCTTTGCAGATGGGACATGCAGTCCTGGGAACATGGCCTTGCCTTTTTCAGCAGGCTCAAGTGCCTACGTGCGGCCGCTCTTTGGACTTCTGGAATCACACACCCGGTGAATATTTTGTATTGTATCTCAAACACGTGGAAAACCAGGGGACACAAATTCTTAATCCGCCAATCCAATCCAATCCGCCAAGACGGAAGCTGATAGGCTGATAGGCTGATAGGTATAGACCCTGAAAAAAGCATGGCCGCGAGCACAACATGTCCTCCTGACATCCGAATGTCTTGGACCCTGCGCAACTGTTTCCTTTGGTTGCCCTCTGAAACCACCAGAACAGGGTACCCTCAAAATAAAATCATCTTGTTTTTGGGTTTTTGGTTGGTTTATGGTGAGTTTCCTTTTGACCCACGAAAAGCAGTTTGGACAGCCCAGAGGTGTTTTCCTCGATTTTTTCCCCGAGCTTTTCTATGTATCCATGTTTGGAGGTTGAAAGGGAAACCACAAACCCCAACCACCGTACCTCCAGTTGCTTAATTAGATATATGTTTTGATTTCCCCTTTTTGGTTTTTACAGGAGTTTTATCACTACTGGACATATTTGCCCATTTTTTGCCCAGAGGGCTAAACAGCAAATGGAAGCTGCTCAGACGACCCATGGGAATGAACCGGAACGGGGTGATTCCATTTCTCATTCCCATCGAACCAAGCTCAAGGAAGCCAGGGGGAAGCCTATCTTGAGAAGAGAAGGGACGCCCATTTTGGTATCTAAAGGGAAAACCTATCCGTTAGGAACTATTTTGAAACTAGGTCCCCCCAGCAATTGGTGCCCTTTCTCACCGTTTCTTTTTTGGTTGGGAGGGTTTCGTCTACTAAAAATAGACTACAGAAAAAAGAAACGGTACCCTTATTCTAGCCTCTCTACTGGAGGACCTAGGAGAGATGCCCAGGGTACTGAGCAACTGCGAGTGATGGAACCCGGTTGGACCTCGTCTTCCGGCGGCTCCGTTCGCAGGACCACCTGCCGGATCACCGCGGGCACGGTGCCGGCGGGGCTGCGCAAGGAGGCCTCCGGCTTTCCAGGCGATCGGAAGAGAGATTTCGCGGTGCATCGGAAGCGCAGAAACTAAACATGTCTTTGGTGCATTTTGCCAAGGGCTGTTAGGACTGAACAACTTTTTGATCCAACTCATGGGTTTTCCACTAAACCACTAAAAGTTAAACTTTTAGCAGGGGGGCAGATTTCGCAACCGAGGCTAAACATGTGCTAGTGTGGAATTCCCGCACCGAATCCCTCTTTTGATTCACGGCGGAATATGAGCCGCGTTCCTACCTGGAGTCTCCATGACCCCTGAAAAATGGGGTCATTACCCAAAATAATGGGGTCATGGACCAATTGTCAGAGGGTCATGGAGACTCCAGGTAGTTTGCATGTGCTGTTGATTGGTGCTGTGGATGGTTGAAATCGAAATCCCGCACACCACTTTGGAACCATGCTTGAAACCACAAGGTTTGTTGGCATTTACAGGGAACTGAATCATTTCAGTGTTTCTAGGTAGTGCAGTATTTCGTCCATCCACTGCACAGTATGATTTGGTTTGTTGTGGTTTGATACGTTTTGTGGTGTTGTGTGTCTTGATATATGAGTTTCATTTGTTGTTTGTTTTGCTTTGTTTCCTTTTGTGATGTTGTGTAATTGTCTTTGTTGGTTCATGTTTTTGTCTATGTGTTGGTTGGTTGGTTGGTTGGTTGGTTGGTTGGATGGATGGATGGATGGATGGATGGTTGGTTGGTTGGTTGGTTGGTTTAGTTGGGATGTGTTTGGTGTTTGTTTGTTTTGTTGGGTGGGGTTTGGTTTGGATAAATTTGCTTCTGTTTGTCCGTTTGTTTGGTTTGGGTTGGATTGTGCCTTTTGGTTGTTTGCTTGCTTGCTTGCTTGCAGCTGGCTGGGACCTGCTGGCTGTCTGGCTGGGTGGGTGGGTGGGTGGCTTGCTTGCTTGCTTGCTTGCTCGTTTGTTTGTTTGTTTGTTTGTTTGCCTGCTTGCTTGCTTGCTTGATTGCTTTCTTGCTTGCTTCTTTGCGTGCCTGCGTGTTTGCTTTGTGTGCCGTTTGATTCTCCAGATTTGTAACTTATACTGGAGTTCTGACGTGCATTTGTTTGATTGCTATTCTGCTGCTTTGTTGTTGCTTGCTTGTTGATACGCCTTTCCTGCTGATGTTAGGGGACTTTTAATTAGACAATTATCGTGTTCATGAATATTTAAAGTCGTGCCCTCGCTGTTTTTTTGTTGTGTAAAACAAACTGAGTCTGTTCAAACCCGTTGCTCTGTCAGAGTCTATGTTCATGTGTTGCGTTGCAGGCATTACGTGCTGCAGTCTTTGCTTTTTCTTGTCACACCTTTGAAGGATCACAGACAACAGAGATGTTTAGCAAACGTGTACCTTCTCCTTGCACCTTTGCACAGCAACCAAGAGCAAGCTGTCCATTCCTGGCCTCAGCATCCTTCATCCGGACACAGTCGTTGGGCCATATTGATAAACGCATGCCCTCGATTGTTGCGGCCCCGTTGATAGATCTCACTGATGGACTCAATGCAGGATTGCCGGTGGTGCATCACATTGGCTTTGTATTCGTCTCGAAATCGGCGACCCTCCCCCCCCCCCAGGGTCAGCTCCCTCTAGGTCCGTTGGCCGCCTATCCAAATCTGGCACACATCCAGCATGTTCTTGCTCTGGGCCAGGGATCTCCCCCCCCCCTGCCTCCCCCCCTGCCCCCTCCTCCCCCCCTGCCCCCCCAGCCCCCCTCTCCCCCTCCCCCCACCCCCCTCTCCCCCCCACCCCCCCGGACCCCCTCCCCGCACCCCCCCGGACCCCCTCCCGTTATGGGAAGAGACCAAAGGGGGATAAACCTTGGTTTCATCGAAAACTTCATGGCTCACAGGGCTCGGATCGAACTCGATGCTGGCGGATGTGACACGCTGGGTGCGGATTTTCTGGAGGGTACCCTTCAGTTTTGTGTTTCCTTTTTTTTTCGGGGGGGGGTGTTAAGGAGAAACAGAAAGGACAATGTTGGGTAAGGCGTAATATACGCTCGAATATTTTCGCATAATTTCGATATGTCCGGCAATCTTCGACCCAGTTGGATACAGTCGGAGGGGGTGGTTAAAGGGAAGCCGAAAGGGCAACCACCTTTGTCAAAGGAAGAACGAGTAGGTTGTTTGCTTTATGGCGATTTCACAACGGATCTTTGGACTTTCACTTTTTGGTTGAAACCTTGTTGGTTTTCCGGATTGGGACCCACAAAAGGTGGAACACTTTTTGCAGAGGGGTCAACAGCAAGCAAGTTTGGGCACTCCGCAAAAACATGGGTGGTTGTTCTTTTTGTTTCCCTTTCAAACCACCACAAACAGGGGTTTTCCATTGGTTTCACCCTGTTTTGTGTTTTGCACGCCAGGAGCGTTGATGGATCTTCTGTGGTACGGCTTCCCCTGGCACTTTCAGCAGATCTATCGGGAGTGCAGGCGGCAAAGTCATATCGCCTACTCCTCACATTCTCTTAAAGCTCCTTGGACTGATCGGCGTGTCTCGTTACTCCTCCCGCAGCAATTGGTGCCCTTTTACCGTTTCTTTTTTAGCTGAGGTGAGCCTAAGCTGCTTGCTGGAAGGCACCTGGTACATCCTCTTCTCGATTCTATCCTCCGCGATGGTGATCGCAGCTTGGCCGATGGGGGAGCTCACGAGACAGCGCAGGAGGATGAGCTGGTTGGAAGGGAGCCGATAGGGAGCGGGGTCCGAATTCATCCAGGTGCTTAAGAGCATTTTTTGTCATTTTCCCTTGCTGGTTTTAAAGGGAATCTATCACTACTGGAATACATATATATATATATATATGTATTGAGACTTTTCCCTGGAAACACGTTGTTTGTGAATCAGCATGGAGACGGCCGACTGTGATGTTCTCACTCACTTTTTTGTGCTCAAGACACCTTTCCTCATACATGCGAGCTGTAGCACCACTTGCCACAGGGGCAGCTGGAGTGTCGGAAGTGTCTGGTCACCTGGCTTTGGCGGCAGTCCGAGGTGTCATTGAGTTTCTTCTTTGAAATTGACTTGCAACCCTGGATTCAATTGGTGTGGCATTTGGCTAGCCTTCTTGTTTGCTGGGAGTTATGCCGTGAAATATTGGGATTCTGTCGGCTGACGGTTGTTTGCCTCTGCTACATTACGAATTTCATTCTCAGGGTGCTCGCTTTTGTGCGTGCGTTTGATCGTGGTGCTACGGGCACTCAGAGTGGGCCCCCACTTCCTTCAAGGACAGAGCAGGATTCAGACCTAACCTGCATGGCGGGTGCTGGGGGGCCGCCACTTTGCGGCTTGCAGGTGGCGAAGCTCTTTCAATCCCTGCAACTCCTGTGCCACACCTTAGCCTCTTGGCGCATTTGTTCTCCCCTTTTCTCATTCAGTGGACACACATGTTACATGTTTTTCCTTGGTGGCCGTTTTCACTAGTGGCCCAAAAAGTGCCGAACAAGTGTACACTTGTTTGTTGGCTGGTCACTGGCCAAGTGAGTTTTCGTCAATGAATTTCCGCCCAACTTCGGGGCAAAGAGTTTGGAGTTTGCGAGATGGACTAGGTCTGGCTTGTAAGAGGTGGCTTGACTGCACACACCCAATGGAGTCCCATGAGCCCCAAAAAAACTGAAACACCCAAGGGCACGCCAAAGGAAGGGTACAGTTGCCGGTGGGAGTCCTGAAGGCAACTGGCCAGACTCATGGAGCCAAGGATATAGGATCCTAGCACTGGGTCGGGGTGTTGTTTGTTGGTTAAGCTCAGTCAGGAACTTCCAAATTCAGGTGTGTCAAGGGTCCAGGAGCCCCAGACCAGCCTTAGCAAATTCTTAGCCGTTTGGAGCTGTTGGTTGGAAGTGCAGGAGATTGCAGGGTTCGAACCGTGGCACTTCTTGAGTATCTTGCTGTCCAATTCATGGGTTTCTTCAAATCATTCGGTTTCATTCTTTCTTCCCCAGCCAACCAAAAAGCGAGAGAGAGAGAGAGCGTGCGTTTCGGATCCTCTCGCGTACGACGTCGAGTGCCGGATCGAGCGCCCTGCCCCACCAGGCCTGGTACGTCTGCCCAGAGCGGGTGGCGGAGTTGGGCGCCCCGCTGAGCCGCCGAGTGGGGCCGTTGCTCTTCCATCTGGGCTCCGCCTTGCAGTTCTCCCACACTGCGCACGGGACGAATCGACCAGTCGAGTCGTCGCAGTCGACGAGTCGAGTAGAGAGGGCGAATCTGGACATGTTGTCTGCTGTCCTTCAGTTGTGTGTTTTTGTTGTTTTGTTTTGTGTTGATGGTGGTTTCTGCGCCGGTTTAATATTTGGCACTCCGTGGCAAACGTGGCAAACAAAAGGCTCAAGCAGGATTTGGACGGCAAGAGGGCTGATCTTTAAATTTAAAGATTCTCAGGGGTCCCGTGATTTCCGTTCACGGGAGCATGTTCAATTGGAACTATATGGCTATGATTTTTATTAGACAAAGGGTTGAAGGACGTCCACAAAAGTGTCCCCTATTAAGATTGACACCCATATCTGGGTCCACGTTGATGACGTCTTCATTATTGCCCTTGAATAGAATGATGAACAAAGAACAGATTCAATGTTAACTCCTAGCTGGGTTTGTTTGGGGTTGAACGTTGATCAAGATATGGGTGTGTGTGTGTATGTTGGTTGATTGCTGTTTGAAAGAGAGACCGACAGAACACCAACCTGTACGGAGGTTCCAGATCCATCCTTTTGCATTCATTACATGGTTTGGGTCCCTAGCATTCTAATACCGATTGGTTTTGATTGTGACTCATGGCAGCATTTCCGGACATCCCCTTAGGTGTTTGGCTTTGAAGGTTTAGTGGTTGGATTTCCATTTAAGCCACAAGTTAGCGAAGTTAGTCACTTTTAGCAGGGGATCTGAAAAGGAACAGTCCAGTTTAGACAAAGCCATCTAGGAATCATATACTCAGACCCTCCATGTATGTAATATATACCCACCTTTGCCCACCAAATGGGTCAAATGGGGTATATTACCTACATGGATTGTCTAGGCAGCTTTTCCGGAGATCTACGCCTTTGCCCTCCAAATGGGTCAAATGGTGCATATTACCTACCCTCCCACCTAACATGGAAGTGCAACAAGGCCCTTTCCACGAAGAAAGTAGTCTTTCTACAGGGGACTTTGCACTTCCATGTTTGCTGGTGGGAGGGTACATCATGGTTGTCGTTAGGAAACATTTTACATTTTTGCTTATTGTGGTTTAGTGGTTGAAATCCAAATCCACTTAACCGCTAAAATTTGAGAATGTTTGCTCCCCAAACCCAACGTCAACCATGGCATGGATTGTCTGGGGAGCTTTTCAGTCGGATTCGAGGTGACCAACACCATGGGCGTGGTGCACAAGGCGGTGCGGGGCACCCGGCTCAGGGACTGGCGGCTCAGACAGCTGGGTAGAGAGGGCTCCCTGCTGGCCGTGCAGGCGGATCGCGGGGTTTGGGCGAAACCCGGTGACCGTTGGCTTCCAATTTTGGGTCATGTCTTTGGAGTTGCTACGTTTGTTTTAAAAAAGGAGACCAAAAAGGAAAACCACTTTGATTCTTGTTTTGCGGGGGGTGGCTTCCATTCTTGACTGCTATTGGGTAGCGGATCTTTCGACTTGAACTCGTTGCAGAACACCGAGGGGGGTTTCACTAAGCCCTCAAAAAGTTGTTGTTGTTTTTTGCAGAGGGATCAACAGCAACCAAGCATTTGTGTTGTTTGCGTTTTTTTTTTTAGTTGGCACGAACAGGAAAGCCATAATGTTTGGGCGTCCCTTAAAAAATAGCACGCATGCGCATAAGAGAAGGTTCCTGACTCACCATCAGGGGTCTTTTCAATTCAAGCTTTTTTGGATTTCCAACGGTGGCAATGGACATCGCCAAGGAGGTGGTTGGAACTTTTCAAAATTACTTTTCCACCTTTGCTAGTTCTCTGATTTTCAGCTTCACTGTGTTTTTTTTGTGGAACCCAGGGAACATCCAGTGACCCCTGATCATTGGCTTCCATCCGGGATCGTCTTTTTGTCGAGTCTCTTTTTGGTGGTGTTCAAGGGAAGCTAAAAGGAACGCCTCAATGTTGAGGGTCAACAAAAAAAATGCTTAAGAATATCCCGTCTTGGGTTTAAAGGAAATCTATCACGAACTGCTGGAGTTGTGCTTTTTGTTCCGGGGACTTAAGCAAACGGAAGTAGGCAACTCGCACCACGGAGAAGCTTGGAGGCTTCTTCGCCCTACGGTGGGAACTGCGCACGTCATGGCTCAGGGTTCAGAAGCACAATGTTTGTTCATGTGCGGTGGGTTCCCTTGTCTCGTGGTGTCCCACAACCGTTGCGTTTCAGCAGAAACTTCTTGCTTGCCCGGGGGTTGCCTTGGCGGTTGCGGTTGCCGTCTGAAGGCGAACCCGAGCCGCTGAAGGCGTTGCCAAGTTGCCCCACATTCGCAATGGACTTGTGCCGACTTTCCAATCGGTGACCGTGGCGCTAAGGGCAGAGAGTCCAAGCAACTCAAACGCATGACTTACTCCCTGAGTTCCTGGACTGTAAACTTTATGGGAACACCCTTTTAGTCTTGGTTGTTGTTGGGAAACATTTTACATTTTTGCTTATTGTGGTTTAGTGGTTGAAATCAAAATCCACTTAACTGCTCTTTTTTTTTGCACCCCTTCCAACGTCAACCAAGCTTAGTGGCGATAAATCGTTTGGACTTTATTTTGGCCATCCACTCAGGAAGTGGGATCACATGAAGAAAACACCCCAAAACTGTGCTGCAAAGTGGCTAGATTCCTCCCGTTTTGAATACATGTCCTCCCCACTATGACACCTGTCAGGGGGTACCTGCAAGATCAGTTTCCTCTTGAAAGGAGGCCGTATCAGGTGCCATTTGTTAGCAGTGTAGATTTATCTGAGCACTAAACCCCATAGAATCCTAGGAGGGAGGGTAGTTCTAGGGGTACCTTGCGCACTCTTTCCAGGGATCCTTCTTTCCAGGAAACCATCAGGCACCCCGGGAAACAGCAATCGTTTGTCGAAAGACCGATGGTTGAAAAAAGAATGGGAAAGGAATCAACCCCTAGAGTAGTTCTTTGGTGCATTTTGCTTGGATGTTAGGACTTTAACTTTTTGCCAACTAATAGGTTTTCCGAATTAAACCACTAAAAGTTATTCACTTTTCGCAGGGAGCAGATTTCGCAACCGAGAGTTGTTCGCAGAAAACCCCAATGGGCCAAGATCAACCTCGCCAGGGCTCGGGCTTCTACTTGGTGCGGTCCTCCGCGCTGCTGGCCTGCGTGCCGGCGCGGGAGGCGGATGTGTTCCTGGCCTGGCAGGCGCTTGGGACACTCGTCCGGGTCACCCCGGTGGTCTCATGCTGCTTCCTCTTTCTCTAGACACTAAATGAACTATTGCACGGGCCTTGCAGTCAAAGTGTGGGATTTATACATATAATAACTCTACAGCGTCACGCTGAAGATCACCAAGCTTTTTTGGACTGCGGTTTCAAGCAGACATTGCACTTCCAGTTTGTTTCCGTGTAAGTTTCCGAAGTGCCGTATTTGGTGCTGCTGTGGGCAAGCACATTAGGCGACAAACCGAGCTTACATATTGTAATGAGCCTGTCTCCCCATCATTTGAATCCTTTCTGTTGGCCACGCGTCTCAGCGGCATCTTATGCAACGACTTGTTGCTGTGATGCCTTTGCAATGCAAGCTGTGAAGTAGCCCACAGTGCGTATGGTTTACACAATCAAGCTGGCTTTTCGGCAGTTGGCACTCATTGGATTGCGTGGCTGTATCCGAAGCCCTGCGCTGACCTGCTTTCTGGCAGCGGAGACATGAGCCTCAAAAGAAGCAGTGGTTCCCGAATGGATGGCGGTTGGGGATCCTTTTCAAGTCAGAAGTCTTGTTGTAAATTGGATCCATATTTTCCTATAGTTGGATCAATTGTTGCAGCCACCGGTCTTATTCACGCCTTCGAGGTAGAGTCATAGGCGCGATGCACCGCATTCTTACCATGCGTGCGTGCCAGCCAGTGTGTGAGTGTGTTTATGGCATACATATTATATATATATACATGTATATATATATATGATGTGTATGTATATATCTACACGAGCCAGGGACAAAACACGCTTAGACCAAACACGAGTAAAGGGGGGCACGCCTTTTGCCCGAGACCTCCCAACACCGTGGAATCGATACGGTCAGGTCGGGGGAAGGGGCCAGTCCTGGGATCAGGCATCAGAGCCATGTATTGCTTTCTGTCATATGTTTCTGTTATTAGTTGATTCTTATGTTATAGTTGCTTATTTGTTAATGTGATTCTTCGTTCGTTCATTTGTTTGGTTGTTCCTCCATTAATTAATTAATTAATTAATTAATTAATTAGTTCATTCATTCATTCATTCATTCATTCATTCATTCATTCATTCATTCATTCATTCATTCATTCATTCATTCATTCATTCATTCATTCATTCATTCATTCATTCATTTGTTCTTTCTTTCTTTTTGTTCATTCATTTTTTACGCTATGTGTCTGCTTTTTGCTTCAGGCCAGGGGCAACTGGCAGCGGGTGGAGCTTCGGCTACTGCAGCCCAGCTTGGGCAAGGAGGGGAACCGCCGGCGCCGGTTCCTGCTGTGCTTCTACCGAAACACCAGCTGCAAGGTGCGAGGGGGCGGGGTGGGGCGGGGTGGGGCGGGGTGGGGTGGGGTGGGGTGGGGTGGGGTGGGGTGGGGTGGGGCGGGGTGGGGTGGGGTGGGGTGGGGTGGGGGGGGTGGGAAGGAAATGCCCAGCGCAGGCATAGGCATAGGGCCTCGAAAAGGGGGCAAGATAATTACAAGCCACCCCTTTTCAACCAATGCATTTTGGGCAGTGCTTGGGGTTTCGCACATGTTGGGGGGGAGGGCGGGGGGGGTGGTAGTGGCTTTCCCCGATGGTTTTGTGTCCTCTCAAATCAACTATCCCAGAAGACCCTGGAGAGATCCGCATGCCCTTTGGCAAAGGGCATCCTTCAATCAGTTCATGAACCACTCCCTTTGCCTGTGTCTTTTTTTGGGGCGGACCCCTCAAAATCCTTGGTTTCCTTTTGGTTTCCTTTTCAAAACCCACCCAACAAGGGGTACCCCTAAAAAGAAAGGGTCTGGATCGATTCCTGTGTATCGCTGGAATTTTTGAGGCCTCTCTGTGGCCCGGACCCCAAGGTTGATGCGCTTGGCGCTTTTTGACAGGTTCTTCGACTACGGAGCCGGCGAGCGGCTCTTTCGGCCTTTAGCTTTGCACAGGCACACCGTGGATCGTTTTGATCATTTGTTGTCGCCTTTTCGCGCGTTGAACGAGGTCACTCACAAGCTTTGCGGGGTCGTGATTTTGACTGTTTCTGGGGGAATTCAAATTCAGAAACTGCAATGGTTGGTTTTGTCCCTTTATACGTAGGAGGTGACTTTGGTAAAAATCATCGAAGTCACCCCTTTGGGGAACTCTTCTGGGGAAGCTCTTTAGCTAGGTCCCCCAGCTAGTTGCCCTTTCTCACCCCTTTTTTGGTTGGGAGGGTTTTCCTACTAAAATAGACTACAGAAAAAAGAAACGGTACCCTTATTCTAACCTCTCAAATCTGGAGGACCTAGTATTAACCTACTGGACGAAAAAAAACACCACGCCGATCGGATGGAGGAAGCCCGATTTGCATACTTGACAAACCACCTGCCAGCAGGTGCCTGCCTTTGATTTTTGGAAACCATGCACACCAAGTGTTTGGAGAATGTATTTTTAGGCTGGTTCAACTCTAATTCGTATGAATCCGTTTTTTGTCTCCTGTTTTTGGAGGGGTTTCATGTTCGTTGTTGGGAAACATTTTACATGTTTGCTTATTGTGGTTTAGTGGTTGAAATCCAACCACTGAACTGCTATTTTTTTTTTGCTCCCCTTCCAACGTCAACCAAGGTTTCTCCTTAAAATCCATCACCGAAAACGAGTGCCGTGAGGCCACTGAGGGTCTTGGACTACCGGTGTCAATTTTAGGCGAGTTTGGTTAAACATAGATGGGTTCCACTGGTGTAGATAGGTTTTATTCCATTTCCCAGGGCCATCCATTTTTGTAAAAGGCCACCTATGGTCCACACCAAAGCGAGTCCCCCCAAAAAGTCGTTGCCAATGGTAAAAGCAAACCAAGTCACATCTTGGGACTGCAGATAGACACAACCCACGTCGCACCAGCTGGGCAGTGTATGAACCAATATTTACTTCGCGTGGCAAAGCGCGTTCCCCCACCACTTCGAGGTGATTTGGATTCTTTTTTCCATCGCCACCCACTTGGGGAGGCAATGGATCGATGGTTACAACATCGAAGTCAGGCACCAGGTCGGTGATCAACCAAAATCGAAATCGCCCAGAAAGGGAGCGGTGGGTAGGTGGTTCCAGGTAGGTGGTTCCAGGTAGGTGGTTCCAGGTAGGCGGTTCCAGGTAGGTGGTTCCAGGTTGGTGGTTCCTAGGGTTTAGGGTTTTTCTGGCCCCATTCTTCTAGCAGTATCAAAGTCACCCCGTAGGTTAAAGGGAACCCACCAATTCCAGTTTCTGCCTCCATCCCCGGATTTCTGCCTCAAATCATGACCCCCACTCAGCTGCAACCAGCTGCAAGCCCTTTTGAAGGGAGTGGTAGGTAGGAGTGGTTCCAGGTGGGTGGTTCAGTAGTGGGGGGCCTTGCCTAGCAATAAATTGCTTTCATACATACCCCCCACCCTACATTTTTTTTCATCTTCCATCTTCTACCCTTATTTGTTTTCATCATTTTTCTACATTCCTTTCTGTCCATCTCATCCGTTTTTTTATCATCATTTTTCCAAAATTTTCGCCATCCTTTTCTCCTTCCTCCTCGCCTCATTCATTTCATCATATACCTCTCAAAATGTCATTTCCTCAATCTCCTCGCCTCATCCATTTCAAAAAAATAAATTTTGCAAAATATATTGCAAAAAATATTTGTCATCAAAAAAATATTCGAACTGTCTAAAAACGATTTGTCCATTTCCCGGACAAAAAATAGAACAGCAACAACATCACTCTCCTCCTTCGTTTCATCACTTTTATCATACAATTTTAATAGGCGTGGTCGCATAGCTTGCGAGCTTCGCTAACGCTCGCATCCTCCTTGTAGGATTTTATCTTCAATATATAAAACGCTATACTTACATTATAATTATAACATATAAGGGTATAAATGTTATTATTATAGTATGATTAATAATTATGGGTTACATTTATAGTCAGGAAAAATGTCTTCAAATATGTAATCTACATATTTATCAATATCGCCAATGTCTATATATTTGATATTGTCTTTTCCTATTATTGAATACATATATTCCCAGAAAAACAAATTAACTAGTAGCCATACTTGATATTTAGTGTTGTAGTAAGACCATACATGGTATTTAGTTATTTTAAATTCATTCAAGACCTCGTTTATTTTATCTTTACTTAATAAATGCCAATCAATCGCATCAAACATGCGTCGAAATTTTTTAACAAATGCTTTATATGGTTTAATTGCGTTTGTCCCTCCAAACCTCTTAATTAAATCTTTATTATTAAAGAACTCATTAATTTCTTTTTCAAATGACTTTCTAGCAATTTTATGGTAAAAACATACAGGACATCGTTTTTGATATTTCATAAAGAATTGCAATTGTAATTGAAACTTTGTATATCCCTTATCCTTATGTTCTTCAACAAAAAACTTTTCAAGGTCTCTTGTTATACAGCATTGATTACAATATACATCATATTCACTTATTTTATTACATAGATTAGCAGGTAATAACTTATACAATGTTGTATTAACATCATTCCTTTTAGTTGTACAACATTCGCACTTTGAATAATTAAATAACATTTCTATTATAATATATATTATTTTTATTTCTTTAAATACTTTTTTGCAAGAAATAAAATTACATATTGAAATATAATTATAACATATAATATTTTACATGTTATTATTATATTATGATTATAATTTAAGTTCAGGATAATAATTTAATTGATATATCTTACCTCTTTCATACATCATTTTAAAAATAAGATTTATATCTCTCACTGTATTTTTAACATTAAACTGTTCACTTTCAATATATGATTTTATGACTTTTTTTACATCAACGCCGGGTTTACTATAATAAATCAACATCCATAATATGTCATTAATCATTTCACACTTTTTCTTACTGATTTTAAGAAACTGTTTAACATACTCGTAAGGTGGTCTTTCATACACAGTTAAAAATATCAATATTTCATCTTCAACATTTCTTTCATCTATATTTTTAAACGCCAAACAATTTTCTATTATATTTTGATATCGTCTCCATCTTCTACAAGTTCTACATATATGTTCTTCGTCCAAAGAATAATCAATAATATTATTAACTATTCCATTAGGTAAATTCAATTTATACAATTCCATGTTTTCTTTTTTTAAGTGGCAACAATCATAGCATTTCTTATTGATATAATTATTGATTTCGGTTTCCATCATTTCTATTATAATATATATATAGTTTCTATTTCTTTAAATACTTTTTTCCAAGAAATAAATTTATACCTTTAATAACTCATGTCTCAAAAATGCCCTGTCATAATTTTCAATATAATAATATTCCTGTCCTAACTTCTTTTCAATCTTTGCTATTTTGTATGTTTGTTTAGTCCATACTCCTACTCTCTCCTTTTCATTTGGTCTCCTTTTCCTGAATATCTTAACTTCATTTCCTACATTTAAATCTGGATAAACTCTATTTCTTTTGGCTTTCATACCTAAATTTAAACTCACTTCTAATTGATGTTTAGGCTTTCTTGCTTCTGACGGTGTTAAGCCGTGCGAAGTGTGCTTTATTCCATTGTTATAAGTTAATATAATCTCGTGTATGTAGTCTGTCCATTGAATAACCTTTCCTTTTTTCTCATCGTTTTCAACCCTCTTATACAAGCTATCTTTAAACGTCCTTATCGCCCTCTCCGCGAATGCTGGGTGACCTCTGGTTCTATGTAATTCTATTTTTTCATCTTTCAAAAAATCTATAACACTTTGATTGTTATAAGCTCCTTCATCGTCAATATAAATTAGTTTGGGTTTTCCACCCATTTTTTTAATACATTCCATCAGTCCTGCTAAAATGTCCGCTGGCTGTTTTGACATAAGCGGGACAACAACCATATACTTAGAAAATATGTCAATACATATCATGCCAACTTTCATTTTTTGTTTAGGGATATCATTAATGAAAAATAAATCAATTTGAAACTCATAATATGCGTTAGGAGCTACAAATGAATTCTGTCCTCTTGGCTTGGCTTTCTGTTCTACATTCTTCCTAAAAAACTCATTAATATCGTTTATAGTTATTGTGTTATCCTTTTTTCTTGCTTCTTGTAAAGTGCGGTTCTTTGACCCGAAGCCTCCTTTATCATAATAAACATTATTAATAATATCTTGCTTAGATGCCATATAAAATAAGATAGATATTATTTTTCCCGGCGATTACAGTTTAAACAGTAAGATATACAGTTTTCCTTATGATGGGCATACTCGTTGTTTATTCGTTGGGCTGTCATATTGCTATTTATTACTCCATTATTTATTTCTATGTCAAAATCTGAACTGCATTTATTACATCTTGTTCCAATTCTGTTAAGCAACCATTCAACATCTATATATTTATTTTCATTTATCTCCCTTTGAGACTTCATGTCTTGTAATTTATATTGTTTAATCTTATGTTCTAAATATCTGGTTACTTGTGCTTCATTTAAATCAGTATCATCTACGTCTGCTTTGAAAAACTTGACTTTATTGATATCTCTGCATCTCGTGAGGGCTGTCCAAATCCACTCACGGCTGACCAAATGTGATTTATCCCATTCGTGTATAGTAATGCTTTTATCTACAGAAGCCCCTTGAGACGAATGGCATGTAGCACAATACGCATGTATAAAGTGCTTGTCTAAAGTCGTGGTGTTTGTCATGAATATAGTTTTACTTTTGATATCTTGGATTTCTACTTTCCAATCATCAATGCTAATAATTTCATAAGTAATATTTACATTAAACACCTGCCCCATTTCTTTTTTATAAACTCTGCATATCACATGCTCTCCAATTTCATATTTATCTGTCTTTCCTAAATTATTTCTTACGGTCTTGCTTACCCATTTGCATCTAGCATTAGTATAGGCTATGTTATGCTCTCCTTCCATGATGTCGCTTGTAGTTTCAAAATGTTTATTTACT